GGGGGGGGGGGGGGGGGGGGGGGGAAGAAAATCACAGAAGTTAACCTGCATTATAGTCATTTTCCACATTTTAACAAATGGCCACAACCAAGAGAAGCAGTGGAGCTACCATTCCCCACACTAGATTGATTACAGAAAACACTGGCAGACTAGCACTTAGTCTCAGGCTTAAATTTATACTTTTCAGCTATACAGAGATGTTTAAGAAGAGTCTAGTCAAATGAGCACCCCCCCGATACGTATTTTGTTTGATGCTAACATTTACATGTAGACTACTACGAAGAGAAATAAAAGGTTTTAAATTTAAACCCTCTTATCTGCAGAACCATTCTGTTCTTTAAAAATGTGCATTTCAGCAGTCTTTGCAGTCAGTCATTCTGTACTTCAGAGAGAGGAAATCCATAAGCTAGTTCTGTTTCCTCTCACCAATCCAAACAGATTAACCCATGCAGTATCTGAATATGAACAATAAGTGAACGCTTGAGTGTCCTGGTCAAAAAGTCACTCAAACATGGGCTGGAAGATGAGTATTGTACTGTGAAGGATACGTCCCTTGGAACGTACAGAAACAGCCCCTCTCAAGCAGCAGCAGAGTTTGTGCAATAGGACACAGTGGGGGTAGAAATAAGAAGGGTAAGTAGCTACAATTTAATTTTTGTTCAAATTTCCCTATTCATTTCAAAATCCCTCCTCCCCTACTAGGAAGGGGGAAAAAAGAAAAAGGCATCTTCCAACAAAGCAAAATTTGACAGTGATTAAAGTCAATCAGGAAAGAAAAGGGTTGCTGTATAGCCCCTCTAGTTGGGACGCAGATTTACAGGACTTGGGAACAATCCGAGCGAGCGCAGAATCAGAAGTGTTACTTAACTCACCACAATTCATTTCCACCAGTTATGTTCCCACTTCAAAAAGTTGCACTTTTTCCACCCCTCACTCCCAAAAAATCAAAATAGTTCCCCTTCTGCTGCTGCTCTACTCAGCAGTTACCAACTACGTACAAGGGCAGTGCATGGCCCTGATGTTAGACAAGCAAAGTTTTCAAGCTTGTGTATATATGATGTAGAGACAAAGCAGCCAGAGGCTCTATGGCTACAGTGACTGGAGGCTGCCCAGTACCTCATCGGATTAGGTGCCACATTTTAAATAATCCAGCAGCAGCTGTTTTATTAGAATTTCTCACTGAATTTTCAGTTCCATAGTTCACACAAATTTTGAAGACAGACTGAAACATTTGACATCTACAGAAGTTATGCCCCCCCCCCATTTATAAATATGTAATACAGCTCAGTCATTTAACCGATACAGGAAATGCATGCATAAGTTCATATTTGCATGGGCAGACACTTCCCCCATCGAGCACACACTTTCACAGCTCAGGTGTGTTTGTTTAGTTTGGGCCACAATAACCGTGTGTAGGAAGGTAGACCAACCGTTGACTTTTGCTAGCGTAACCTCGATGCATTTACATGCACGCTATTTCCTCAGTCAAAACTATGAAGGGTTTAACATGGACAGTAAAGCTGCTAGAGTCATAGAAAGTGCATTTGAGAGGTTTCTGTTAGGCTAGATCAGGCTTACAATAAGACACGCACGCAGCCAAGTTGAGGGCTAAACGCAGGTCTGAAGCCATACCAGCTTAACGGAGCTGCACTGAAGCATACAAGAAAGCTGCCTTTACAGAGAGTTGGGGGGAAAGCTATACACAGTTCGCATAAACAGCAACGCTGTCCCAAAAGCAAAATCTGTCATACTGTAGGTCAGCAGCCAGCAATCTTTTTAACAAGTCATGGACCAGAACAACCTGGCTCTGGTCCAACACTGAGGTACCTCTAAAGGCATCCGGCTAGATGCAGGGGGGCTTCCCTGTACCCACACCGGGGTCAGGCAGCTGGGAGCTGTGCCAGCATCCCCACTACTTCTCTTCACCCTCAGCCAGAGAGCAAGCGCAGCTGCCAGCAGGTGCATCTCTAGGCAGCTGCCAGCTGTGTCCCTGCTGCTCCTGCTCCCGCTCTACCCTTCCCTCCCCTCCAAGTTGCAGCATAAGTACTGCCTGGCCTCAGGTGCAGCTCCTCACAGGCTGGAAGCTAGTGGGAACAGCAGGGGAAGGGGTGCAGCTAGCTGCCTGACCCCAGCT